GCAGATTCGCGTTCCGTGGATAAAGGGAGGGCCGGGGCCCCGGGAACGATAATACAAATCGGCCGTGGCAAAAACGGCCGGGTAGAGGCCGCTGCCGATCATTGTTGCGCGGCCACGGTAAGAGTATAAATTTCACAGCAGGTCGGCCGGGGCGACCGATCTCGGCGGCAGGCCTCCGAAACTGCGTGGCGAGGGACAGCCATTGAACGGCCATTGCGAAAAAGAATACCGATCCGTCTAACTGGTTGAAGGACGAACGCACTGGCAGAACGCGTGGAACAGACGAGGAGAGGGATAGAGGGACACGTTTGCAAGAGGATGGTCGCAATATTCCGGACCGAAACTCACGCAGTTCGCGGATGACTGAGTATACTCCGCCGGCAGTATAATGGGACCCCCCGTGGTAGCTTACCTGCATCATCGACTAATCACGCCGGATAATAGGGAACAATGGCGCCCCCGTGAAAAGTGAAGCATACCCACCACTTACCTCCCCTGTTCAACCACCCATCTCTGTCTTGCCAAGAACGTCTTCCGCCTGTAGCGGAACGGCTGGCTGTCTCGTTCCGTGTCTCTCGGCAAACGCTGGGCCCTCTCAGATCGTTCCCGCGAGTCTCTTTCTCTTTTCGCCTCGTTTGCGGAACACCTATCTCTTCCTCTCCGTCTCCGCGCGCCCAGAGGACATAATCCTCTTACGCACCGGGCACACAAAGTAAAATACGAACAACACAAGGCGGCCCGCCTCGCTCCGTCGTGTTCCGGTTTTGCCGTTGTGCCCGAAGTGTCTCTTTTTTTTTTCTTCTTTCTTTCTTTTTCTTTTTTTTTTCTTTTTTTTGGGGGGGGGGGGGGGGGAGAAAGGGTGAATGATCGATTTCGGAAATTAACGTGTTGAAATTGTCAATCTTCGGGGGCTGTTAACTTTTGACTTTTTTCGCATCACGTTGATTATTATCACTGTTATCGTATCGATTATATCGTCCTTCTATGAAGTACGTTATTGGTATCTAGATGTGTAGACGATAAAAGGATGGATCAATTTTTGACAGATACCAATTACAGCATTCGACAAAATTAGTCTACCACATTCGCTGCTGCTGACACATAATTGTGTAACATCCAGTTGGTACACTGTGTAGGTTGGAATTTTATTTTTATACGTTTCAACAAAAACATATAGAACAAAACAAAGCATGAAGCAAAGAAAATTTAAGACAATTGAAAATATCAAGGGAAGATTGCACGTATTATTAATGGCTCCAATGAACGCCGAACCGATATCAAGACGTTAGGCTTCTTGTCAGTATGAAGAAATCTATTGTCTTAATGTAGATATTTACGACTAAAGATGACGATTCACTAACTTTCTCATGCTCGATCGCGATTATTTACTCTGCGCTTACTTACTTGACCCGCAAGCCTCTTGGAACAGTTGACATCAATTTTTCCCTAAAGATAATATTTAAATATCAATTTAGTTCACCTAGATCAGGGCAATCGAACGGCTGGTACTTCAGATTGATTGACTACAATTCGCTAGTAAATACGCGTGTCAGCGTGGACAGTACCGAGTGCATCAGCAGAGTTAACAACAGCGTCATCTAATTTCAACCAAAAACTACAGCTATCAATCCATCTCAACGCTGTTGCGCCAGGCATTAATTTCGCAGCACAGTAATCGCAACGAGTCACCTCCCAATCTCAAGCGGAACGCTAATTCAACAGTTAAACGATACGAAGAAAGAAAACGAAACTTTACGATCGTGCGAATCACTTCGAAACTTGAAATATTTCTTTGCATCGACTTTTGCAAAAAAAAAGAAAAGAAAACTTACTTTTTAAGAACCACGGAACCGAATAAACCATTTAATCGACAATTTCGTTACGGCAAGCGTCGTTCTCGCGAAAGGTTAATGCGTTCAGAACGAGCGTCTCGATATACAGCTTCGTTATAGCACGGTGAAATTAGAGTCGCGTTTCTGGCTGTGCCCGTTCGTTTCTCCGGGGGGTTGGTCAACGGTTTCTCGTTACCTCGAGGCAGACGGTGGGCCTCGGCGGGGCTGGCAGAGACACGTGAACAGTGACACAGAAACGGTGGTGTCGGTACGTGCTTTGTCGTGCTTCGGCCCCCGGAGTCGTTCGCGAGACGAGAACGTACGCGTTTGACCCTTTTTACCGGGGGACCGTTTTCCTTCCGCGGCGCTCGCCCACGCCGCTGGCCGTGTAATCATTCCCTCGTAGTTTCGTGGAGGCAGGCCGCGGCTTTCACGGACGCGAACGCTCGAATCGCTTTTGTGGCCTTCCGGCTGGATCCGCGGGAGGACGACCCGGCCCATTATGCCACGCAACGCGCGCGCGTTTTGTTAACTGTAAGGGATGAAAGGGTCGTTAAAGGAGCCCTCCGGACTCGTTAGTCGCTCGTGCCTTCGGTGATTCTTCCGCGGCGAAGGGTGGAGGGGCGGGAGGGAGAGGAGGAGGGGTGCGAGATTGAGACTCTAAGCGCGGCACTTCCTCCCTCCGTCCGCCGGCCTTGAATTACGTTTACCGGTTTGTTTGTCGATGAATATTGCTCGAGAGAGATTCACTTCTCTGTGTCTGTGCATCTGTATTTATAGACGTCTCTCTCGGAGAAAAGGAAAGGCTCGAAGGGAAAGATTCGCGTCGACAAAGGCAGCGGACGAGCGGAGAAAGAACGATAAGACGGGGGACGATATCGAGGAATCGCGATAAGATCGCGCGGTCCACTCTTAATTTCCGTCGCCTGGCGCGTATTTAAACCGAGGCGAGTACATCGTGAAAGAACGAGAGAGAGAAAGAGAGAGAGAGAGAGAGAGAGAGAGAGAGAGAGAGAGAGAAGCGCACGGACAGAGACGAGGGAGGACGATGAAGGCTCCTGACTCGGAACGAGAAACTCACCTCCCGCGCGGCCGGCTACGTACTCTCGGGGTATTTGCACGCGCGAATACGCGGCTCTGATACACCGACGCGCATAATGCATGTGGTTACAGAGAGCGAGAAAGGTGGGCCGGAACGGAGTGAAGAAAAAGAGGGAGCTAACGGATGGAGGTAACTAGAGGGTGGCGGTGGAAGGGAGAGAAGCAGTAGATTAGGTGGGTACATCGCGCGACTGCGGCGAGGACGTTGGTATAGAATAGCAGATATAGGTGTACCGGGAACTAGCATCGTGTGGCAGACCGGTTAGGAGGAGAGAGAGCAAGCGAGTATAGTAGTCGACGAGGCAGGCTAAAATGGGCGGCCGAGGAGGGGGTTGGAGGAGGGTTGAGGGGGGGGGGGGCGGTGAGGGGAACGAGGGCTGCCGAGAACGCACGCCGAGGGGTGAGAAGGGTGACGAGCAAGGGAAGGACAGAGGGAAGCACGGTAGTAGAGTGAACGGGGTGTCGAGGGGGGGTAGGCTATAAAGGCTAATTGGTTAAAAGCTCACCGCTGGCTGCAGGCTTAAATCAAGATCTTGGAGTGTTATAATGGATAAGTAACACGGCGAGGCACGGCCACCAGCTAGCGGAGTTGTGTGTTATCCCCACCCCTTCGGCTCGCTGTGGCAGGGTAGGTAGGTTCGGCGAGGCAGCGCTACCACCCCCATTCCGCGATCCGCAGGATCGTCGAGGGCGAGTATCTTTCGAGTTAAGGACGACGCGGCTCACGCGATTGGCCCGCACCTACGGCTACCCCCGTGCCGGATACTCGTTGCCACGAGTCATCGATCGCGCCTCCACCCTATGAGAAATCGCGACATCCATCCCCCACGGTAAGCCATTTGCTCCGCCCCGCCCGCTGCCCCTCCAACAACGACACCCCTTCTGGCAACTTGCAGCTTAGCCGTCCTTCTGCTCCCCTCCAACGCGTTCGCCACCCTTCTATCTCGTGTTCGTGTTTCATCCCTCTCGTTCCAACCATCCCTACGGCCCGTTCGTCTGTCCTTCGCGGTAGTCGCCTATCCATCCGACGCGCAACACTACCACCCCGTGACTCTCGAAGCGTGACTCCACATTCTGTCCTTCTTCACTCGCCACCGTCTCCATCTTCTTCTTCTTCTCTCTCCATCTATCTATCCATCTATCCGTCTCTCTTTCCCTTGCTATCATCGGTGTGTGTGTCGCTGTTTCTCGCTCGCACCACTCCGTCTCTGCTTCGCTTTCCCTACGTCGGCTGCGTGCGCGAATGTTCGAGTAAGGCTCTCCCGTTCGTGTGACCTGTGGTTTCTCCGGCGTTTTCCTACCCTTAGTGCGAGCACAGTGCCCATCCGCAGTCCATCATTCGCCACACGATACTCATTCGCGACTCTCGTTTGCTCGTGCTCGTGCTCGCGCTCGCGGCCGACCGATTCCCGCGAGTGGATGCCGGTCGCCTCGTGTCCCTGCCACATTGTGAACCAAGCGTTCGCCCTCTCGTCGCGATTCACCGTGCGTCGTCGACGCTCGTGAAACAACAAACTACTTGACCATCGCGGCGTTCGTCAGTCTGGTTTTTGGCTGTGACGTCGATCCGTGGATCCGAGTGGATTTCGAAACATTGCGAGAAACAGAGAGGAACGAACCATCGATCTTCCGCGAGGGAGCGGGGAGGACAAACCGAACGAAACACCGGCGAACGAGTGATTAACGATCAGTGGAAGAGAAAGTGACTCGAGGAAGTGACTCCGTGTTGCTGTTCGCGGTTTTACACGTACGGCAACGTCTCGCGAATGGACTAGCGACGAAGAGGGGAAGAGGAGAGATCGGTTTGGGGTGAGCATGAGAGGAGAAACGGCTACGTGTCAGACTGGTAGGCGGTGGTAGAAGGAGGTGCTACCACAAGCGCACAATTACACACACGAACGCGCATATCTGTATATACACGCAGTACCGTGACACACACACACACGTATACGTACACTGTGACGTGCGAATAAATTTGAAAAGTGGTAGTAGTAGTGGTGGTGGTGGTGGTGGTGGTGGTGGTGGTGGTGGTGGTGGTAGTGGTGGTGCTGTTGGTAGATAGAGGTGGTTGAAAGGGGGACGAGAGGGGTGAAAGAGGGTGGCTCTGGAAAGGGTGGACCCTCCAAGTGTCTTGTCTCCTATCATCTTGTCGTCCAGGGTATCGCTTACGAATGTCGCGCGATCGAGCGATCCGTCTCCGATCCAACACGACCAGCGACGTCCTGCCGTCGGAGGCGTCGCGACCAACCCGCTAGCCTACACCGTGCCGCACAGTTTACCATTGCCAGCGTGTATTGCTCTCCGCTTGATATGAGACGCGAGCCGCGATTCGAACCGCTCCGCGTGTCGGATAGACCGTGCTCTGCCGTCGGACCGTCGACGGGCGACCAACAGCGTCCCATGCTCTTCTGACGGGACGAACGCGTCGCGCAACCAGCCGTGTTCAGTGGAACGGGTGACTGTCTGCCACCTGAATCGTGCGCCATTCCACGGAAAATCGAACTCGAGAAAACTGTCGCGTTCCATTCATCGGGAATCCGTGAACGTCGCTGCTGGAACGGGCACTTTGGACGCGAACCAAGCATGTCCGGTGAAACGGAGATCGAGGTGTCCGTGGTGTCCGAAGAGGATTTGGAACTGGAAGGTTCGAGGAGCAGCTCGACGCCGGCCGAGCTGCTTCTGCAGGAGAAGAACGGCAAGTCCGGCTGCGGACTGAACAATCACCATTCGTTTAGCTTCGACGTGGGCAAGCCGGCGCTCAGGCCCGCCTGTAACCCTCAGTACACGTCCTTCAGCATCTCCAGCATCCTTGGAAGGCCCGAGTCGCCTCCTATAGACTCCACGTCGACCGTGTCCGTCGAGAGGCGATCGTCGGACGTCGACCGAGGCTCGCCATTGCCAGCGGCGAACGCTCAGAACTCGCAGAGGATCGGCTCCTCCTGCGACAGCCCTGCCAGAGGATTGTCCTCGCCCACGTCCTTGAGATACTCGAGCAACCAAAGAGGCACGTCGACGGTCGGCCACGCGGTTGAAAACAGGAGCAACTCGACGAGTATGGGGATTGGATGTGCTACCAGTGCTACCAGCCCGGCATCCACGTTCTCTCCGCCCAGCGACGCCGCTGCGAACCCTTTGCTCGGTCACCAAGCGTCGGCCGACTTGGCCATGCTGTCGAGGTACGTTTTCCTCTCTATCGATCTGCCTCTTTTTCCCGCCTATGTGCGTTATTTTTTATGAAACTTCTCGTGCCATGGAAATTATCCGCGTGATTATCTCGCTAATATTTTTCTCATTTTCGGTGGTTCACTGGTTCCCGCGGTTCAGGTAGAAGCTTCGCCTTTCGTCGTGTTGTCTGTGTGACTGAGTTTTACAATCGTGAAACGATAGGTTCGTTTGTGTATTTAATGATGTATCAACGAAAGGAATTTAACAGAAGCTTCCGGTGAACGCACGTTCGTTTGATCGTAAATCTTTTTTCTCCTTTTCCTTTGCAATCGTTCGTAATTTTTCGTCGCGAGACAACCGAGAACGTTTTTGTTCGAATGATTTTTTCAAACAGCAAATAGCTTCCTAAGCCCGGTCATCGTCATCGGAATGCAAACAGTTCTGAAACGTGCGACGATCGATTATTTACCCGCCGGTTTTACCCGCTGCTTCTCTCTCGTCTAAACAAGAATAATTTAACGCGTTGACCGAAACGATTGGCGAACGCGCGGCAATAGTATCGCGCCGATAATTCACCGCATATAGTTTATAACTGGTACAACTAGATTTTCGTGTTAATGCGTCAACACTACTAAATGCTGCTATCAATGTTTACTAATAAGGAATTAGCGCGCGCCATCAATTTTATATCTGGGTCGCAATGTCGACCGGTTGCGCAATAACTAACTATTTCATCGTCGATCGCGCGCCGCCACATACGATTAACGTCGATCGGCAACAATCGACACGCGACTATCTCAACTTCTCTCTTTCTCTCTCTTTCGTAGTACCGATCACTATGAAAATCTCTCTTTCACCAGTATTTTGTCGATGATGTGTCGATATTGTCCTTTTTTTCTCTCCCTTGCTTTCCCCAAACTTTGTCGAAGGAAACGTCAACAATCGATCAAACGCCAGACGAACTCGCGAGAAACATCTCGATCAGCTGGATTCTTTTCTCTCTTCGAGGCTATTATTCTTATTTGCGGTATCGTGAATTAAAACACGATCGTTCGAGTAATTTCGAGCAAAAAAGTGTCGGAACAATCCCTGATATTTTCTTTATTTTTCTATACTTTATCCAATTAAGAATTAATGAAAAATGGAATATCGAAGATTCCGAAAGAAATTCGAAAAATTGGAATAACTTTTTTTTTTCTCTCGCCACCAATCGAAACGTAATTATTCAAATTTCTCTCAAGAAGAAATTGTTGGTGGAACAATCCTTGACATTGTCCATCTCTTACTTCCCCAATCTTCATCCAGGAAAAAGGTCAGCAACTGATCATACGTGAAATATCAAAGAAATTCTCAAAGGTTTTGATTCTAAAGTTGAGTCTTTTTCCGAGACTTATTCAGCAAAAGACCATTGTATCTATTGATGATGCTACAAACCGAAATATAATTTTCCCCAAGAAGGTGTCGGAACTATCCCTGATAGTGTTCACTGATCTCCCTTATGTTTCTAATCTTCATTGAAAAAAAAAAAAAAAATACATATATATCAAAACACGCAGAGAAGCGAGGAAAAACTTGGATCTCGATCAATTAAAGTTCGATTCTTCAAAAAATAACGTGAAATGTTCAACTGGCGAACAAATGTTCAAATATCCGAGCGAACGTTATTTCACCGTCGCGTAAACACATCAAACGATGATGATCCATGATTCAGAATTAGAAGACGACACTGAACGATCCACTGAATGAAATCAAACGAAATTTTTGCGGTTGCGCGAATGCTCTTTTCCAGCGAGTACGCACGAATGGCGTGTGATACGAGTAGGCTTTGGACAGAGGGATCGGGGGTGGTTTGGGGAGTGATAAAGTAGCGGAGAGAGAGAGAGAGAGAGAGAGAGAAACGCGTGGCTGCAGCTTCGGATTATATTATGTGGGAATGGACCGAGGGGGTCCGTAATGGGCCTATTAGGCTGTCTCATTTAATAACAACCGTAGCAACAACCACCCTCTTACATTACTTACGTTACTTAGTGCCGTCCGGCTCTATATCGGATATATCTCGGCGAGGAACTCGAGCCAGGCCAAGCTGCGCCACAAGGGGCTGCCAGAGACGAGGGAGAGTTCGAGATGATTTTATCAGATTTACACCCCCTTCCGATTGACGGCTCCCCGCTATATAACCAGCTGCTTGCTTGCTTGCTCGCTCGCTTGCTTACTCGCTCTTCTACCGGTTCGATGCCTCCAATTGCTTGTTTTCCACCCGTTTACCATTTGATTAAGTTCCACTCGAAGCAACGGTGCATCGAGACCCGCCACTTTTTCATCGGGGGAAAAAGATTATTTCGGGGCACGAGCCTGTCACCACAAGGGGGAAGGCTGTATTCCAATGACGCTCTAATTTTCAGATTGCGTAAAATTATTCGCCAACTCTAGCTGACCCACTGCTGCGTTGATTAATTGTTGGAATTAGATTTTTTTTTTTTTTTTAGAGCTCAGAGAATTTAGTAGCTTCGCAGACACGCGAAGATTTTACTTCTCAGGAAATAGCTGCCAGTCTGCAGAATTTTGACGAACGATCTCTAAATTTTGTAAAATGAAATATTTTTCGATGCGTTCGATGGAGTGCAAAAATAGTTCCACGATTGAATAAAAGAACGACTGAATTTTAAAAGTGTCGAGTTTTTTTTTTTTTTTTGATTGAAATTTTTGTACATAGAACCAAAAAATACGTTAGGTACTATTCACCAATCGGAAGAAAGTATTCAAAGTTTCGGATTTGTAAGATGTAAAAATCTATAAAACGTAAATCAATAAAACATGATCAATTTGATTCTCGTTCATTTCACGTTTTTCTAACTGTGACAAACTTGGCATAAACATCCTCGAAGTATTTCGTCGCACTTTGTTTAAAAAAAAATCTAGCATTTCGAGAAGTAAAAATTCTATATTATTATCGTTGTGCAATCTTTAATTTTAACGCAACAACAGCTATAAAAACACACACACACACACACAGAGGGAATTATTTTAACGTGTTTTGGAAAAAAGAGAAGGCATTTTAACGCTTTTAACAAAAGAGAATATTGTATTCATACAGGAAAAAATTCTACGCTTCACACAAGGGTTCTATAACTTGAAACAAACATTCACCGTCGGCAGCTCGACGGATCGTATCGCATGTAGATTTCGAAACAAAACTCTGCTCGATAGCACGCAAAAAGATGATTCACCATTCAACTGGAGAATTAAAGTATTAAAGTATAAGAATTACGTATATTCACATGTTAAAAAAATTCTGTAAGAAAATATAAAACTGAATCATTATAATGTTCGCGTGTTTTTTCTTCAATCGGTGTAACCTCAATTGACAAAAAGGGTAGATTTCATAAAGGAAAAAGAAAGAAAAGAAAGGAAAAAGAAATAATCAAGTAAATGTTATTATTTTTAATGGCTTTACGATCTTCGAAATTCCTCTTTGACACGAGATATCGGTTATTTTGAAACTCCTTGGAAATTATAGATCTAGAAGCTACCTAAGATCAAAAGCCCGGTAGACAAATATTAAGCACGATTCACGTAGACCCTGTAACGCGGAGGATCGAATATCAGCATAGGCGCGGAAAGTAGGAAAGAATCAATTAGGCAACGGGTGAATAATACATCAGCGGATGAGACAGAGCGGCGCATAGTCGAAGTTAAGGAGCCTAAGGCTCCCGGGAGGAACGGCCACCTATCCTGTCCCGTTTCGGCCACCCCCGAGCAAGCGTCTTCCGCGAGGAGGAAGCGAGAGCAACGCACACAAGCGCGCACACTTCTCGGTTTGATTTATTATTAAATCGCTGCCTACGGCATCCGAGTCTTGGCCTCACCAAGGTCGGCTAAGTAGACGAAAAGCTTGCACCGTGAAATCTTCCCCGACCGTCTCGACGCTTAACGTGCAATCCCCTCCCCCCTTCTCTCACTCTCTCTCTCTCTCTCTCACTCACTCACTCTCTCTTTCCCTCTGAACTGATACGGTAATAGCATTTTCAGGGAGGAAGAGATTTCAGCAGAAAGGATTCCCGTGTAGAATATTACTTGAATTAGACGCTTCGCGAATTTATCTCGCGTCCAACCTTCATTCTCGCGCCACTCTTCTGCATGCACACGCGCGTTAACCGAGTTGTTTTGTTCGTTTCGAGGGGTGAAACGAACAATCTTACGTGCCCAAAGATGATTTTCTAGTTATATATATATATATATATATATTTTTATGGAAACGGTGACAAGAAGATTTGTAATCAGAATGAGGCTTAGCTTCGTTGATTTCGTGTCGTTGTAAAATGGCGAAGATTCGTAGCAAGGCTGAGGGTCGGTCTGTTAATTACGCGTTTGAGAATGATTTTGTATTAACATTTCTTTGCTGTGAAATGAATTGGTGAAGATAATTCGTAACAAGACTGAGGGTTGGTTTGTTAATTAACACCTCTTCAATGGAAACTGGATCATTATTTTCGAGCGACGAATGTTTTTTTTTTTTCTTTCTCATTATTCGTAATAATAAAACGAAGGAAAGATCTTGTAACCTAGTGAGATTCGTTAAATATTATAATGAGTGCTGCATTTTTAATTATTTTATATAGCTTTTCCCATGTATAAATACGTAGATAGACATTCATTAAATTTACTTGAATGTAAAATCGTCATCACATTTAATATTGAACCGAATATTAATATAACTCGACCTTTGTGATTCAAGAGTTGAAAATGATTTTACAAAATTTTTTAAATCATCTCTCTCTCTCTCTTATGTTACGTTATTTATCTCTTATGTTAAAATAAATATTTTCAGAGAGAGAGAAAGAGAGACATGACAAGATCCTTATCGCTTAAGGTGCAATTAGACAGTTTCTTATTGCGCTACGAGGAAGCAAGAATCCCTCACAAAAGAGTAGCAGGATGCTCGAAAATAATTCAAGTTTATCGAGTTGTCAGGTAGCGAGGAGCTATCAGGTTTAAAGAGAAACGGGTGGAG